GTCCATTACCTTTACAGGTTTTATCTGCAGCTGACGTGCGTCCATCTTGTTTGTTTTAGGCTTGATGGGCTTCTCCATCCCTGGTCCTTCCCAGAGAAGGGGTAATCCACTTGGTTTCAGGCAGAGCGTACAATTGTTCTCCTGCAGGCTCCACCTGAAGGTTTCTCCTTCTTTTGACAGGTATCCTTTCTTTGCATATTCCAATGTGCTCAAGGCCCTACCCGTCCAAAGCCCTGAGACTGTTCTTCTTAGTATCACTCCCCCGCATATAGTGGCCAGTCTAATATAGGGGAGCATGGTGCTTGGTTCTGTGGCCATACTCTGGTTTCTGGTTTCAACTAGCTAGGAACTGGCTTCAGTTGCTCTATTCCTTGGATCCCTTTCTTCTCTAGCTCAACTGTGTTTTTATCTAACACTTTTCTCACTCTGTCTGTGGTGTTATATTTAGGCTTCACTGCAACTGCTGATGGGTGATCCTGTGCTCTGACCCACACCTTCTGTCCTACCCTGAATGGGGCCTCAGAGTCTGACTGTTCCTCTTTATCCTCAGAGCTCCGCCCAACTTCAGGCGTGCTAAACCATCGTTGGTTGAGCTCTTCTGAGGGGGAGGGTCTACCAGCTCTTCTCCTGTCATTCAAGGCCTGACCTATCTCCACAGTTTTAGTACTCCATTCTTTGGTATTAGCATTTTTAGCTATCCAATTTTTGACTAAACCTATGGTTCTTTCTGCTACTCCATTGGCTTGAGGTGTGTAAGGAGGCGAATAAACGCGCATGACCCCAAAAGTCTGACACCAGTGATCCACCTGTGCATTGCGGAAGTGCGTCCCATTATCGGTTCTCAACTCTTTTGGAACTCCTAACGACCCACAGACTTGTTCCAGCATACTAACAATACTGTTGCCATTAGCTTTTCTAGCTGGTTTCACCACCACGTACCCTGACATCGAGTCTACCAGCACTAGAAGGTATTTCTCTCCTTTCTTGCCTGTAACTCCCATGGGTCCAGCTACATCCATGCATACTGAACCCCATGGTGTGGTACTCTTGATGGTCTGTCCATCCACTCGGTGCCCTCGCCTTCCTGCGTTGTATTGACCACATACATCACAGTTTTGCAACACCTTGCGGACCTGTTTCAACGGGATCTTGAGCTCCTGACACTCCAACTCCTTACGTGTGGGTTGTACGCCTGCATGACCTAGACCCTCATGCACGCCCCGTACAACCTGCTCCACGTACTTCTCTGGGACTCTCCGACCGTCGGAGGTTCTGTCCCACTCCTCGATCCCGACAAAGACTATTTTTCTCTGCTGTACATAGCGGTCAACTTCTTCGTTGCCTTGCCAGTATTTTCCCTCTCTAGTGTGGGCTTTCTGGTGCTCTACTTCTAACTTCAGATTTAGCCTGATCTCAGCTATTTTCTTCCACAAGTCATGGTGAGCTACCACTTTGCCCTTCGCACTTTCAAATCCATTTTCTTCCCAGATGGCTAGATCCTCTTTTAGAGCTTGTGCACAATAGTGGCTGTCTGTCACTACTTTAGCTGTTCTTATTCTCTTGTGAGTTAATTCTAGCAGCCCTTCGAGTACTGCCGTAACTTCGCCTGTTTGTGCACTACCCTGTACTCTCCCCCTTCTACGGCAGCACTCGTTCCCCTGATATTTTAGGATAAATCCCCAATGTGCTACCTGATCTGACCCTTTTTTGGATCCATCTGTGTAGAGAGTCCAGTCGTGCTGCTTCGGTTCTTCGGGCACTTCTTTGGCTGCTTTTTTACTCACTGGTTGTGCAGGGCCTATCTCCAAATCCGGGTCTAATAGAATGTCTTCCCATCTACCCCACCTTGTGTTAGTAGCTTTGGTACTTTCTATTGTCCCTTTTCTGAGATACTTGTGCACTTGGCTTTGTGTCACTACTCTAATAGGCTGCCCTTGGGCCAAATCTTTTAATGTCCCCCAGTATCTAGCAAGCACTGCTAGCTCTTTTTCTTCCTGAGGAAACTTTTTCTCTACTGAGGTCAAGGTGTAACTCCATAGAGTGACCAATCCACCGTTTTCGTTCTTCACGGCTATCATGGCATCATCACTGTCGCAGCTGACTTCAGCTATGAGTTTTGTCATTAGGCTTCTTGGTTCTAGCCTTACTGCTTCCTGAATCTTTTTCCTAAGTTCTTCTAAGTTCTGTTGGTTTTCTGCTGTCCAGACCCATAATTTCTTACTGTTCAATTGACTGTCATTTTCTTTTTTCTTTAGGCAGGCGTACAGTGGTTTGGCGTATCTCTGATAGTTAGGGACATGATCTCTCACATAATTACATAGTCCTAAGATCTTCTGTAAGTCGTTCTCTGACTCAGGAGGCTGAATTTGCTCGAGTTTCTCCCTATACCCTTCTGAGAGTCCTAGGTCTGCTGTCACTTGAAACCCTAAATAATTAACTTGGAACTGTCCAAGCTGGCATTTTTTCAAATTCAGTTTCAATCCTGCCTCTGTGACTCGCTGCACCACTTTAGCTAACCTCTCCAGGTGCTCTTCCTCCGTGTCATCTGCGATAAACACATCGTCGATGTAAATTGTGGCGCCTAAGTCTTTGAGCACGTCCATCACGACCGACTGAAATACATTAGGAGAGTTTTTATATCCCTGCGGTAGCCGCTGCCAAACATAGCTTTTTCCCTGGTGGGTAAAAGCTGTCTTTCCCTGTGATTGTTTTGCCAGCCTAAGAGAGAAAAATCCGTTTGCTAAATCAATGCAAGATTTGTACTTTTTCACTTGTAGAGTTTTTAGGGTGCCCTGCGGGTTGATTAGACTCGCTCTGTTGGCTACTGTTCGTCTGTTAAGGGCTTTGAAATTAATCACTGGTCGCCACCCTCCTCCTGCTGATTCGGGCTTCTTAACTGCTTGGATCGGGCTGTTAGTTATGGGGTTTGTTTCTTCCCTAATAATTCCTAACGCTCCTAATTCTTTCACAATTTTGTTCATTTCTTCAACTGCTCCTGGATTTAGAGGATACTGTCTTACGGGCGGGTGAACTCCTCCTTCGATTATATGTACAAACTTTGGGCCTAGATCCCCGCAATCATTTTTAAATCTGGCTATTGAGGCTTTCTCTAGTATTTGTTTTAACTTCTCTTTCCCAGCCGGGGAGAAGTCACTCTCATCTATTTTTTGTTTTGTCACTTCAGGGATATTTACAGGTTTATACCAGTCTTCGGACTCACTTTGTTTGTGTGTGAACCCTATTTTTACTAGCCTAGATTTTAACTTCTCTAACCTTCTGTTTAAGGCTCTTCGGTTCTTCTTTGGTTTCTTTAGTTCTTTCAGATCTGTAATTGTCATGAGGTTATAAGGCCCTTTTATCCACACAATTCCTTGCCATAACCCGTAAGGCATTGTTTCAATTTTTCCGTTTGCTAACTGAACTGTCAGGTGTCCTACTGTTTTTAGGTTTTTGCGGGTCATAGACACCTCAGCTCCGGAATCTATTAGGTAAGGTTCTCCCTCTACTTTAGTGTAGATTTCGTCCCCCTCCCAATAGGCATCTTCCAGAGTGACCCGCAACCTATCTGCCATTATTTAGCTGGCCCTCCACTCCCTTTCTCACGGGACTCATGGAGGGCTCGTTTTTCTTCTGGGGTCAGTTTTGCATATTCTTCTGGGGGTAGGTATTTACCTCCTTTCTGTGGTGTGGAGTTTGAAGCTGGAGCTGAAAATCGTTTTGGTTGTTGGTCCCTATATTGAGGTTCTGACTGCCTCGGTGGTCTCTCCCTGTACTGTGTCCCTTGCTGTCTCGGGAACTGTTCTCTGTATTGTGGCTGTTGAGGGGCCTTTTGTGTCGGCTTTGGTGGTTTTTGGCTTTGCCTGCTCTCACTTTTCTTCTTTTCTTCCCAGAACAGCTGCTCTAGGTCATACGATTTTACTGCCTGGTCTATCTGGGCGTCATTAGTTTCATGAGGCATTCTGGCAAAGGTGAGCTCTCCCCTTCTTCCCTTGGATACGATCCTTAAGGCTTTAACATACCTTTTAGGGGGAATTACTTGTTTAAGTTGATACCAAACTGGGGTGAGGCGTTGGCCTTGATCCATGCGCATTCTTGCCCGCTGAATGTGAGAGTCTTCGTCGTCCATGTCTTCTAGGACTAGTTTCTCATACTGGCTTTGAGCTGATTCCCCTTTGCTCATTGGGTTTGTGGTGACATTACCTAGCCACAACTTTTTTGCTGCATCACACTCAGTGGAGCTAACTACCATGGGCCACACATCTTTGATGTATTCCTCGGTGGTCTCCTGGGGTTGTTTTTCTCTCACTAAGGTTTTCAGCTTTTTGTACTCACGATAACTGTCAGTTTCTGGGCCTGGGGCTTGGTTTTGTCTAGCCTGCCTGGGCTCATGGGTTGATTCAGGCATTTGATACGGTGGGCTTGTCTCGGCCGGGTATGTATCATCTTCCTCATCGGCCGATATTTCATCTCGCAGTTTCTTCTCTGTTTCTTGGGCATACTTGTAGGCCGTCTTTTTCATTCTTCTCAGCATCACATCATGTACTATCCCTAAATAAGCGGTCCTAAAGTTACTAGTTAGGGGTTTGTGGGCTGCCAATGTGGGGTATGAGGGCATCATTAAAATGTTGGCCCACTCTCCCAAAGTAGCTTTAACAGTCAGTTCCACTGTCTCTTCTGACCTGTCTGCCCATACTGGTGGAATGTCATAGTGATTTTGGCCAGCTTCAGGGATGTAAGTTCGACGCCCATCACTCGCCTGTACCGGGCCCCAACTCAAGTCCCTGGCTAACCTTTCTGATACTCTATGTACGTCCAGTATTTCTACTCCCTTCTTTTGTCCTTTTCTTTGTCCTATTCTTAATGGCTTAACTGGACCGTCGTATTGGCCTGCTATTGATTCTAGACTGGCACTACCTTCGTCATCGGTGTCTTCCTGACTCGGGTCTACGTCTGGTTCTCCCTGAGAGCTTTCGTCGTCATCCTCCTCACTCTCTATGTTTAAGGGTTGTATTTTTGTTACTGTCTCTCTCTTTGGCTGTCCCTCTCGTGAGTTTGCTCCGCTTCTGCGTCGTCTTGTGGTTGTACTTATCAGGTCATGTTCTGTAGATGAGGTCAGGGACATTTTTGACCCCTGAGGACTGATCCTTAACGGGTCTTC